AGCGGACTCCAGCATCCTTCAACAGGCTAAACCGATCATTCTCCTAACAAAGATTTACATTGTGTTGGCAACTAATTAATTGCGGATTTTGTCATTAAGTGGTATTGACAAAATCCGCAATCACTTAGTTGCCAACCCGTATATAACCGAGATGCAGAATCCTCTTTAAAAACTCTGAAACACGAGACATCGAAAAATATAGAACATTTAACAAAAGAGATCTCATCGTGCTAGGTTCATGCCTTAAAGATCGTTGCTCCGATTCCGCCTATAAATACCGCTCTATAAATGCATTTGCACGGTTCGAAGATTTACAGAAATTTCTCTGTGACCAAGCCAAAAACTATTCTTCTGAACGTACCAAGTATATGTACTTTGGCGGCAGATTCGCCACACTGTTCGCTGTTTCCAGTCAAACTGACCGGTTTGCGGCAAACGCGTTACTGGACGCGATGTTGGATACCGTAAATAGATAACGTAATCATGCGTCCAGTTATCGCACGATAATTCAATAGGACGATCACTGTTCGTATTAGCCGACCAAAGACGAGCCTTGGCTACATTCGCGATGATCATTTTGACCTGGCTGTTTCCATATCTCAGATTTGTCCAACTTTCTCAACAGCTGAATAAATCGATCTGTGTTTCTTAATGTTAACGTTTTCGTCAAAAACCTGCACTGTGAAAGTGTACGTGCCTTTGAATGCGCGTTTCGTTGACTTTTAACGAGAAAAGAAGCATTGGAAGCTCCCAATCTTCTCATATTAACAGTCTTATTAAGGAATTTTCTTCTTTTACGAAATAAAGAATTAACAAACTAACGTGATTTGTCTGCGAGCTTTAGTTCTAACTTTTGAATATCAACGTTGAATAGCAACGTAAGAAAACGTTTGCATTAAATACCTCGCTATGTGTACGTATGCTCGCGTTGAAATTTTCGTGTTTCAAATTTTACCATCGTAATCGTGATAGCCAGATGGCGTTACAGAGTTGATGGAATTTCAAAATGATCCGCGTAACGCGTATAATATAGCGCAAAAGCTTTCGTAAAGATAGTGAGCGGAACATAATGAAATTACGACGACAAAAGTAAATCGAATCAATCGAGGAGAAAATGACCGAAACGATACTGGAACAGAGTAACGTGTATATAGGCGATCCGATGCTGCTAGATATTTTTTACTTCCACGTAGCACAGAATGGTAGTTTAGATTTCAGTGAGTTTTATTTTAGAATAGCGGCGAACAAGAATAGCTTAGGGAGTCTGAAAAGTAGATCAACCAGATATCACGATTATCGACAAGGTTTCAAGGTTCTTACCATCTCTCGGCCTGGATTTATCAGATTATCAAGTATTTTGCAAACATCTTTAAAAATTGGATTTAGCACTAAGAAGGCCAAACGCTATAACATAATGTAAATCTTGTTATTCTCAAAAAAACCTTAACGTCGACACTCTGGTCACGATTGCAGATAACTGGAAACATCTCTTACATCGATCGAATTACACAAACCAAACACACGTTCGTCGAATCGCTATCAACTAAGAAAATGAAAAATAAATGCCGCTGTATTAATCAATGATTTTCGTAAGAATCAAATTTGGTGGAGTAAGAAGGAAAATGATAAAACTCTGTCTGCTAAAACAAAGTAACTTAAACTTTATTTCGACCTTCTCTCAAGTCCTTCTCCATTCAATTGTATCTCTTTCAACGTTAAAATGTACCTCGAGTTCCGACAAAATATACAAAAATTATTATCGATTCGTCGTTTCAACTTTGTGCTACAATTGCAACGACATGGAAATGTAGCAATTCAATTTGATATTCTATCTATATGATAAATATATAATAAACATATCTAAACACAATTTGATATTCGATTACGAGTATCACAATAGTGAAACCAAGAATTAAGTACCAAAAAATGCTACAAGTGCAAATAAATATTGTTATATTGTAATTACAACACCATAAAATATCTTACATGATATTCCATTACATCGTACTATGTTGCTGTACGTTACATTGGATTATTATTACGGCACTGCTAGACGTAATTTATAAATCCAGATCGGCCAAATGAAGAAATCGTACAGCAAGAAAACCAATCCGCTATACCAAAGAATAATTTGCGATTCGTAATTCTTGATATACAGATTTATATTATATTATTATCATTAATACTTAACGAATATACCTGCAAAACTATCGACGATAATGATTCAAAAGCGAATTTTTTCTACATCGGCTTTCCACCTTTTCTGAAGAAACGTATTAAGCGTTCAACTAGGGGGAAAAGCGTAGCAATGCAAAAATCCATCGACAGCGGATGACATTTCGACGGATTGGCAGTTTGCAAAGCTGACGCGAGCTCTGTCCGCGCCTCCAAACTTCTCGATGTGATCGGAATACGATCGAGTCCCGCGAATTATTCGTATCGCGCGAACCTTTACGAATAATAATCGAGGAGAAGCCAAAGCAGAGACACGGATCGATGTACTTGTTGATCACGTCGCCATCGTTTCTCTTTCCACGTCTGTTTTTCGTTTAACTACCTCGCATGTCTGTACTATGCGCAACTATGTAGGTGCATTAGTGTAAGAATTATATTTAAATATATACTTCGACTATAGAATTTGTAGTATAGTAGTCATCTGCGTGACTATATTATCTAATAACAAGTTACTTTTTACATTCTTTTTACATTCTAATCGTTACTGCATCGTATTCTTGCAATTAGAATACGGTGACACAAGCATATTCGAGTTTTTACACGCATGTAACTATAGTAATTCAATAGAATCAAAAGATTTCTTTCCTGTTAAATATTACAAACGCTACTCTGTATCGGATATTTCATACATCTCTGTGTGTCATATACTTTCGTTTAGCAACCTTGCATCTCCGTACTATGCGACTATGTAGATACGTTAGCGCAAGAATTATATTTAACCAGGTTAAATACGACCGATTTCAAAATTTTATTGAAAATTGTATATTCGTCGTTATTTCTTTTGTTCGTCTAACTGTATCAATCTCTCAATTTTTGTTGATATAAGAATTTACATAAAGTTAGAGGAACAAAAGGAATAGCGACGAACGTACAATTGGAAATTAAATTTTGAAACCAGTCGTTTAACCAGACCTGGCAAGCTTAATGTTAAACGTATACTTTGTCCGTACAATTTCTATATTCTGCGTGACTACTCCGTACAATAAGTTACGACTTTTTACATTGAGACCATTGCCGCATCGTATTCTTGCAATTAGAATACGGCGACGTAAGCATATTCAGGTTTTTGCAGACATTCAATTAATAATTCAATAGAGTCCAGGGATTTGTTTTCTGTTAAATATTATAACGGCTGCTTTGCATTGGATATTTCGTACACTTTTCTACGTCGTACACCTTCTGCACAATTTTATACTTTTAAATACCCTGGTAAACATCCATAGTCTATTTGTAACGTACACGCTGTGTAACTACACCGTAAAGCAAAAACGCTGAATGTGTAGTCAACGATGTTCTGTTACCCTATCATTCGACTAAGCTGTTTGACTATCAGGTATGTACATAATCTACATAACCTTATTGCTTCGCTGTACCAAATCACTAACACTATTTGACCACATTGCACAATTATGCTGAAACGAGATTACGCAAGGCACTCGCGTATTCTGACTCTGATTTACGACAATCCGCGAGCTCCGGATTTTCCAATAATTACGCTGCCGATCAAATTTATTGAAACAAATCAAAGATAAAAAATGCGGCGCCACTGGCATATGATGCGCGTTTCGTATTAATCTTAGAAATACGATTACGACATAACGATCTTAATCATTCCACTATGTAAGCTTTATCGAATATATTAATAAATTTTTTATGCAATTTATTCCAGGTCTCATAACGCACGACCAGCATACATTGTTCGTCGTAACTCGATGACTCAAGAGTACCACTTACAGCCAATGTCCAAGGCTGACCATGTAAACAAAGCGTACAAGAGCGTCCAAAGGAGCGAAACTTGGAAATTCGGCAACGAAACCGAGCACTGTCGAAACCGATGTTACCCCTGGCCAACGCGTAAATTCTATTTTGGCCAACAACCAAAGTGAGTCTGTCAAACGTACCTACGAATCCTCCGATATAAAAAAAACGAACAATTTTCTTACAGAAGAATAGATGATATAACAATTCCAAATAATTATCAAAGTCCTATTAAGTCAGGATTGCCAATCGAATATCAAACAGAAGATCGTATATCGGGTATTGTTCAGCAACGTATAGGCTATCAAAGCGATAGATAAGGCCGGTTCTCAACGATAAATATGCGAAGATGCTTATCGTTTCCACGTAACACCGGTACATGCCTCGAATAATCACGGTGAGTGAACTTTAGGAGGCGGTTACGAGACTTGCCAAAAAATTCAATCGCCTGGTGCCAATTGGCCAGCGATTCCTCGTTCTTTCATGTTCCTGAATGTTGGGCTAGTGGATGGTCAGTACCAGGGAGGATATTTTTCACGTTGTTTCCACAGGTTTCACAGAAATTCCTCTATCACTCTGTGAAGTTCTCGGCCTAGATATCTCATACTTATTGAGCATCTTGAAAGAAACTCGAGGTATCTATAATATTCCGAGAAATTAGAACAAGTGGCTCATAAACTTCTTAACATATCTTCTACGACTTACAACTTGCGACCACATCGATCGGTTAGTTCAAACTGGAAATTTCTATGATTCTTTAGAATCTTGAAAGAAATTTGCGGTGTATCTACGATATATTCGGAAATTAGGATGAACGACTTATAAATCCTTTGAGGGATTCTCTAGAACTCGACCTGGCTAGCTAGCTCTGCCATTCGCTCAAACTTCGTTCTAAATCCACAAACGTTCGATTCGGTCTGAAAAGTCACTGGTCCCAGTCATCGTATCGCTTTAGTAGTGCTCGATACGATTAATCGTAAAGGAAATTAAAGATCAACTGTACTTGCCTCGGATGCGTGCACGAGGGCGGCGTTGGCGACGAGCAGCAGCAAGAGGCAGCTCCTCAGCGAGCTAGAATCCCTCATGATGAGATGTGGACCTGTTAGCCCCGTAGTTGAGCAGCGTGTCCACCGGTGTTCTTCTCTATGTACACTGGGTTCGTCGAGGGAACCTCTCGTCAACGCATGACGAGGAAGAAATCGCGCGACCGGTCCCCTTCTTCCAAGGACACTTCGATCTGGACCTTCACGGAGCCGACTGTGAGGACCACACTGCGAGGACCGGCTACTACGGGCAAACTTGGACGTACAAACTGGTCTGAAGCGACAACGCGGGACACGCAAGACCGTACAACAGCGTACCGGTGTTCGGTAGCGTCTGAAAGGCCGAGCGCGCCGGCAAGATAAAACTTTTTCAAAAGCCCGGTGCTTTTCCCTCACCCCGCCGACTCGCCGACAGATTCAGCTGCGTTCCCTTGCGCTCCGCCGTTCTGTCTCTCACCCGCTGACTTCCTCTTTCTCTGCTCTCTCCGTCCACGGGGCTTCCCTCTCCTCTCTGGCCATCCACCTCTTCCTCCTCGCTCGCAACCACCAATTCGCGCCGTAGCTCTGTCCTTTGCTAGTCGTCTGCCTTCCACTAGCGCGATATTCCCCCACCATTGGACCACAGCTTCCCCTCCTCTGCTGTTGTCTCCGGCGCGTCTTTCTCCGTCGTGCTCCCCACTCCACGCCGTCTTTCTCTGGCTGCCCCCACTCCGCGATATTTTGCGAGGGTCTAACGTCTTTGTCGCTCGCCGAAGGTAGCGGTGCATCTTTTTCTCGCAGCAGATTCTTTCTCTACACGGAGAGGAGTAAGTTGTTCCTGCCACGGACACGATCGTTTCGTACTCACGCACGAGGCGACTAGGATCCAAAAGTGGACGTACGCGATTTTTTAACAGGAGAACTATCACATCGATCGAGATCACTGGCTTTACGATTTCATTTGAAAACTCCTATCTCGTGTTACATTTTTTTCCACGACGATGTAATGATCTTTTTATTTATTCAAAATCAAAATAATTTTGCATCGTGGCTGCTTGTAGCAATAGCAGCCGAAATGACCGGTAGTCGTCAAAGTGTAAAATGCTCCTACGATCTGTTTACCGAATCCGAATTAACCAGTTCCCTCGATGTGTACATCTTGTCAGGCGTTTTTTAAATTTTCATCGGGTATCGTTCGATACGGCGGCGTCGATTATCAGGAAAACTGTGGATCCAGCATGACGCTAACGCTGGAATTATCACAGCGGTCGAGATGACTGGTTTTACAATTTTATAAACGTACTAACCTTCGTTTAGAGATCATAATCTTGGATGGATTAATAATATCAAAAATATACCGTTTAACGTGGAATTCCTTTTGTAGGAAAGTAACAAGTCAATAAATATGCAAATATTCTATTATTACGTATTTTTTAAAGACCGGTCGATCAGTTTTGCTAGAAACTTAGCTTCGTTTTAACTGTCGATAGTTGTACTGTTAATGAGTCCAGGATCAAATTGCAGATCATAAGCGCGCCGATACCTGCACAACTACGTCCGTTATGTTAATCGTCGATGACTCGGTTATGTCAGATAATTAATTTTGGCAACGATCGGAGAAAGTGACGCGAGAAGTCGGATCGTCGTTCATCTTTGGTCTTGAACTATTGTTAAGCGACGGCGGAGAAAGTTACTGGTGTCGTGCAGCGCAGTTAATTAATTGGCAAGTTGTTTCTACCATAGCCGGATATCGCTCCATTTGTTACGTTTCTTGTGGAATAAACGATGCAGGTTCCTTTAAAAACTATCGTAGAATATTCTTACGTAAAGCTGCACCAGGATCACGAACAAGGGAACAACGTATCAAACCTTTGGAAACATCCTATGAGAGAGATCCGTGCCATTTGCAGACCAAACTAATAAATTCACTCGTCTCCTTCTTCTTTTTTCAGGGGGATATTTTTAACGCAAAAATAATCGATTTTAAAGTATTTCGTCGTTTTACGGTTCACCGATCCGTTCAGTTTTTTCTCTAATCCCGCAAGCCAGTCGAGGCTGTCCGCTTGAAAATTCACGAGACAGCGAATCGAACGGCCATCAGCAGCGACGAGTCATACCGGTAGGAAAAAGAAGATATAAAAAAAAAGAAGAAGAAAAAAAAGGAGAGGAGAACCGCGTGCTTTCGCCGACGCGTATTCCCTCCTTGTCTCGCTTGATACGACCTCTTCGTCCAACTGGAGGATCTGTTGCGCTCAGCAACAGATGCGAGGGTGATCTTTTTTAAACGGGTCAACCTCGCCTCACGCGTATCCGCCCGCGTTTTCACCAACGAGATGCATCCTGGACCAGCATAGACGGTGTAATTATAACAGCCTGTCTGTTAATCATAGCAAAGGAAAAAAAGAAAAAGAATGAAAGAACAGTCGCGCTAATTCATGTCGAACCGCGAGCAACAGATTATTCGCGAGGATCGAACTGCCCGTCTATTTACCCTCCAAGATCGTTATGTGATATATAGATACTGTTTTACCTGCGATCGAAATTAGACCACATTTTTGGAATATATTTTGTATCGTTTCAAGAAACAAGCGTGTCACAGGTTGCTCGATAGAATTTTGTTTGTATTGTACCTTTGACCAGTTAGCTGTTTTCGACGAGAATACACGTCATGCGTAAAAGGTAGCTAGAATTTGATGTTTAAATTGCAATTTAGTAATTGCGGTAAATTGCAGTAATGAAATTAGAAGATAGAAACAGTGATTTTTATGTTATAGGAACTGTAGATACCCTGTGTCTGACGATTATACTCGTCGTCGGTTACCTTTTTCGGCACGTTACAGGCACACGCTTCTCAAAGCTTTCTTACATTAACAAATATTGAGAAATCGATTAATCGGCTGATACAAGAATTCACATAAAGTTGGAAGAACAAATATCGATGAATGTAGAATTTTAAAATAAATTTCGAAACCGATCATTTGATCCGGTCTCTGATAGGCTCAGTGTTAAGACAATCTGGCAAATGTACCTAATTAACAGAGAATCTACGAGAAAGCTCGTGTCGACGAAGAAACATCTTTTTTAGCCAATCTGTTAATAAGAATCTGTGTCACCATATACGAGTTACGAATGTAATAAAAGAAATCGAACCTTCGCACACATTTCCAACGACTAAATAATAAATAAACCTATGGAGGACGGGCAAACACATAGATGTAAGTCATATTTTGATCAACGATCAATACGTATGCTAATTTCAACATTGCTGTCTGTTGCTTACGACCTCACTTCTAGGAAAACTCTACATCTTCTTTTGTCTCTATTACTGGGTTGGCAACTAACAACTGGTTGCAGGTTTTGTCAATACTACCTAATGAAAAAACCACTTAGTTGCCAACACAATGTAATTGTTGAGAATTTTGAATCTTAATAACCGAAATAATGGTATAGGAACGCTAAATTTACACTTGGAATTAATATTAGAATAATTAAATATTTATTTGGTGAGCGATTTCTAAGATATTCATCGATACGTAGTTGTACGCGTCTCAGCACTTTCTTCCGTACCTGACTGTTAACCGACTGAACGTTTTACATTCATTTATTTTCGAGATGCCGCGCACACACATACTTCCACACACTGGCATTCACACACAAGTATTTCTACCACGCATCTAACCTAGTCTAACACATAAAATTATACATATCTCGATAGTAATACCGCGGGAAGATCGCCGACATACAGACAATGTGAACGATAAAGCGCGAATGCCGACAAGCCGAAAGAGTCGGAAAACTTGAATAAGCCTAACGGCCATCGATATATTTCGGCAGCGCAGTCGTTGCTCGTCAGTTGGCCATCGGAGAGTCAAGAGCGAAGAGTCGTTAATCGAGAGTTGTCATATCACACTATTGCATTTAGTTCGAGTTAAATAATCGTTTTCTCTTTAATCCACTGTAATAAATCCATCTATCAATAAATTGTCACATAGGATAGAGACCAATGAAAATTCTAATTTCTAATATTTCTGAATAAAGAATTTCCATAATATTGTGTTGGCAACTAAGTGATTGCGGATTTTGTCATTAGGTGGTAATGACGAAATCCGCAATTACTTAGTTGCCAACCTAATACACTCATACACGCGTTTGCTCTCTCTATTCCGAGATATAAAAGCTCAACACTAATGTTACAAGCCAATTTCATTTCATCGCCTATCTTCTAGCAAAGATTCTAATAAAATCGAACACCTGTTCTTACATAGTGTTTTAACACGTTCGTCACCACGTCACCCATATCTATGTGACGGGTGTACTTCCGTGGGGGACCCGTCACCAAAGTATGGGTGACGCTCATCTTGTTATATCTTGTTATATAGGATATACAACATAAAAATATTAAAAACACGTTATACCATACTTTTAATTAATTTATATTCTGGATAATATATTACATTATTCTATATCGCATGGTATTTCTTAAAACATTCCAAACACATTTAGGCTCATCTTAGGCACCTCGAACAATAGTTGTAGACTTCGTCATCACTACTCTCTTCACTTTCAAATATATTTTCACGCTGTTTACTGAACATTTTGAGGATAAAAAAATCACAAGTATGCTTCTCGACTAAACGAAAGATCTGAGATATCTGCCATGAGATCCCTCGGAATACTTTAGCTGGAAAGCTTATCGCTTTCTCCATTTCAAAACTAAATAATCTTTTCATTACAATGAATCGAAGGCGATAAACAACGAATGTCGCTCTATTTACGTTCCCCCCCCCCCGCAGGAAACTTGGCCGAATCACACTGGGCGACGAACGTGTTTTAAAGCGCCTTAAAGCTCGTAGCCAAATCTGCCTTAGACGCGGCGGATCGTTCAAAGCGTGCAAGTCCGAGTGGAACTCAAGCAGCAATAGATATGCCATTAGCAATTATTTGTTTAGTCTGCGCGTTAAAATAAGCAACGTACATATTATCGTGAAATAGTAGAACTGCGTTCTATATTTTCCGTTCTCCGTACTTCTCATTGTATATGTGGATACATAAACAATGATAAGTTTGAAGAATTTCCGCGCTACGAATTGTGGCCAAAATTCTCGCAGCTCGTGCGAAATAATATAATTGTGCGAGAGGCAAGTACATCCGAAAGTCTTCTTAGCATCGACATGTTCGTGAAAATCAGTGACATGGAACATCGGACATCAGTGACAAATATCGAACATGCAAATTTCACCATTAACAATTAAAACCATCGACGAAGAATAATACAAAAATAAATTTTTCTATTTTTTCAATAAAATATATGCGCCAGGAATTCTGCGTATTATATCAAAAAAGAAAAGGAAAAAAATAGGAGGATA